TGTTTTACCTTGGGTATTTTCAAGGTAGCTACTTCTGCAGTATAAAGCATTGAATAAATTCTCACTGTAATTCATTTACCAGAAGAGTTCCATATAAAGTCTTTTACAACAGTGAGAAGAAACAAGTTCATGGAGATTTTAAAAAAATAAAATATTTTAGTATTCCTATGCACAAAAATATTGGAAGCTGTAACAGGTTGCAGCAGTTCATCTTTGAGCAGTCATCATCCCTTAAATCTGAGGTTACAGGAAGAATGAATAAATTTTTGTGAGCACGAGTTATTTACACAGTGATTTGCTATCATATTTTTGGATGGCCCATTTATGTATTTTATGGTGGACAGTTCAGGAAGTCAGTACAGGCAAAGCAGATGTTTAAATATTGATAAACTGGAAAAGAAGCTGTTTACCCAAAAGTGCATTAAATTAAATGCCATTTAACTTCCATTCTTTGCATTTAAAACACACGTTGTGTTGCAACATTCTAGGGTATTTGATAGTGCTGAATGCGTATATGATAAATGCTGCTACTCACTAAAGTACAATCCTTAGAATAGCAAGATAGGTCTATACAATGTTTTTCCTCCAAAAACATTTCAGGAGCATATTGCGGTTCTCTTCTGCCTAAACACAACTTTTGTCGTCTTCTTTTTATGCTGCATTAGTGAGACAAGATGATGGTAGAACTGAGGAAAAAATGTGATCACATTCACAGCTTGTGGCTTGTAGTTCATGACTAAAGTGTAATGGCCACGTGTAGGTTATTGGATATTGTTCTCATCACAAAACCACTTTATTGTTTGACATATTAAAGTAAGGATGGACGCTATGCTTTAGGAAAAAGATACTATACTCTGTAAAGCCATGGACAGTGGGTGACTTCATCAGAAATGCACTGAGAATTGTATAAGAAAGATGGACTTTGCAAATATCCCTCTCAGACACTTTCCACAGGGCCAAAATTCCATCTTGCTTTCTGAAAGATGGTGAATAACCAGGCAGAAAAAGACCAACAGAGGATGGAGGAAAGTTAAACTGTACTTTGGCTTCCTTCTCTTGGAGGAACTGGTCATAGGAAGATGAGATGTAGGCTTTTGGATAAGAGTTGTCAAATAGTATCACAGCTGGCAGTGCTTCAGAGCTCCCCTTTTCCCTTTAGCTTCAAACTGTAGAAAGTTTGAGTTTAATCTTATTCTTAGGAGATTGAAATATTCACCTGTGTGTTTCTTTCCCTTGGGAGGAGAACAGAGTACAGAAGAGTTCTGCTGCTCTTTGCTTTACACCCTTCCAGGATATCCACACTGCTGTTTTGGGGGGACTTTGAGGTAAAGTCTGACTGTAACATTTGCACTAGGTTCTAGGGAATCTATTGGGAAAGACAGCCTACTCCTGTTCCCTTTTTTTTCCAGTGAGATGATAAAAAAATTTCTAATGAAATGTTACTCTCATAAGGTAATATAGAAAGAAATGTATATATTCCTGTGTCTGACCCTCTTTTTGAATACTATACAGACTTCACTCGGCGTTTAACTATAAAATATGAAGTCACTGAAAATCTTTCTCCAGGATAGTGTGCCAATTAGTTCATGGTGTCAGACTTGGTATTTGAGTACGTCTGTTATGGATGATGTGCTGCACAGCCTAGGGTCGGACAGGAACATGAATGAACAGTTATCCAGCCCAGTTCTAGTTTGTGTCTGTACGGAGTATCTTCTCAGTGATATGAATATTAAAGATGTCCCCAGGAAAGGGAAGGAACATGCAAGTCATGCTTAAATAGCATCACATTGAGAAGTGGGTACCAATTCAGCAATACGCTGTGCCCTGCTTGGGGTTACTTCCAGTTAGTTGCAGTAGAGGGAATTACATGAAACCTCTGTGAAGCTGTAAGGAAGAAATCTGGTAATGGAATCTGATGTCTCAGTGCACAGACCCTGGAGAAGCAAGGGCTTGTTTTGCCTCTGCTGAATCTGGGGAGTGAGATGCTGAGGCAGGGCCCGAGTGCCTGGACGTACCGGGATCAGGCTGCCGGGAGAGCAAGGCTGGCGAGCGGCTCGTGCCTGCTTTGCTGGCCAAGGTCTGTGACAAGCCAAAGCCAAGTCTGACTGAGAGGCCTGTTAGAGCCGGGAGTCGCTTCTGACCTTGCTCTCTCCTTTTCTCCCCCACTGTACTACCACCTCTGACTCTCCCAGCATTCACAGGAAAACAATGCGAAACAATGCCCATCCGTGCTCAGGCTGATAAAATAGCCATTTCTTTCCCAACTACCGTAGAAGGGACCCTCCCTGCTCTTCCTGGGTGGTGGAGAGGTACAGATTTATCTGGGAAATTAATCTGGGAACAAAGACGAGGTTTGTCTTTCTCATGCTACTACCACTGGCAAAGAGGCACCACTGCGTTTTGTTCTGCCTGACCCTCTCTCCCAGCACTCCGCATCCTGGCCTGCCCCATCCATGGGACCCCGGCCTGCCCGGTGCAGGAAAGGATGGTGGAGCAGGCTGTTCCTCCCGCCTTCCCGCTCCACAGCGGGGAGCACAGCGAGAGGTAGAGAATGTAATGTTGAGAACCAAAAATGTACAACTGTCATGACAGTGCTGGCGTCCCTGAGAGACTCCAGCCTGGCAGAGGCTGAGGAAAGCATTCGTTTTCTCCCCCAGGAGCTGAGGTTGCACCAGCCCTTCACAGGGAAGCTGGAGGGGAAGGGGGCAGCTCAGGAGCCCGTCTCTGCTCCTCTGGCAGGACTGGGCCACCAGCCCTCCAGCCACATTAGCCCAGGGCACGGTCCTGCCACCGGGCCAGCCGCATCCCTCCCTGCCCAGCCTGGAGCACGCTGCCTCCCACCGCCCTCAGTCAGAGCGCCAGGTCTTCAAAAAGCAGGTCATTTCGTTTACTGCCTAAAAGGCTCCTCTTTTCAGACACCTGTTTTTGAAATGTTTGGTGCTGATGGCCATAACAAGTCAGGGTATTACAGTGAAATGATTACAGATAAAATCCTGCCTTGTCTTTAACGGAGTAACTCCAGAGCACATGTAGATTCTTCACATTCTTAATGCTTTTACCATATGAAAAATAATGTGCTCTGTGCAATTGATTCCAGTATTTCATTCGTTTTTCATCATCTCCTATCTCTGGAACATCCCTCTCCCTCTTAACAACATATTTTCCTAGATTTCATGGCAAAGGACAAGATCAGCTTTGTGTTGCCATAATCTCTTTTGAAGCAGAAAATTGTTTCCAGATTATCAAATGTGGGATGGAAAAAACATCATATTTATGAATTGGTAAACCAGATAGACTTCCAATTGAGTTTAGTTCCAGGAAGGGTTGGTGATGATTATCTGGGAAAAAAAATGTTTTCATTATTAAGTGTCAAAAATGCTGCATTAAAGGTTGTTAGAATATATTTATCCCAGGCTTTTAGTACTTGTTTTTGTTCCAAAGGTTACTGTAGCCTGAACCACTTTCTTATTTTAAAACTTATAATAGTGGAAATTCTGTAACGTATTTCTTGGTTTGAAATTAATTAGGTCAGACTCACTAGTCTTCTCATCACCATTCAAAATACCTTTCAACATGAAGACAGAAAAGTAAGACGCGCACAATGTATTACATCGCAGTAAGAACACGTCTGCCGGCTGGGGACTGACTGAGCACTCTCTTCTTCCTTCCTTGTCTCTGTTAACATCTCATTACTTGTTTTGCTGCCCTGTATTCTCAACATCTGGGTGTCTCAGAGTCTCTCCTGGCTATGGTATCTGTGTGCTATCCCAGCAAACCACTATGTCATTCCCTGAGTGTGAATGGAATATTTAGCCTGGATAATCTGGCTGGCTACAAGCTGGGCTGGTTACTCGCTTTGTATCATGTCAGCTTGATTTTGCCTGGTATTGGTACCTACATTTGTGTTTATATGGCCCTTATTGATTGGCATTATTGCTTTGGCCTCCAAACGGCAACTGAGGCTGGGGGTGGCTGGAGCTCGGCTGCTCCCGTGTGCCCAGGACACCGCAGCAGCAATGGATGGATGGATGGCCCCTGCAGCAGGCTGAGTCTGGGGTTGTGTGTGTCTGTCCCATCTTCTTTCATCAGTCATTGCTGCTGGTCTTAGTCACTTGCTTTTTGAGAAGTTTTGTTTCCAGTCATTTTCCAAAATCACAGCCCGCTGTTAGCATTTGCTTTTGTGTGTCTCCCCAGTCACTTAACTGCTGGCATGTAGGGACACGTTTTCAGAAGGTCCTGTCTGAGGTGCCATATTGATGTGTGTCTGTGTTGTGGTGTGTCATTGGCATACTGGCATGTGAAAGTAGGCACCTGTGTGAGCAAAAGGCTGTTTTGGAGCCCACCAAGGAAGTCACTTGGTACGTGACAAATATATGCATTTATGTAATCAGATAAAAACACAAATGTTAGCCTTCCTATCCAAACAAGTCATTGTTGTTGTTGTTTAGTGGCCTTTGGTACTTACGGAAAACACTGACCATCCCTATTACAGTTTTTCTGCATCTCTTTTAGGAATTTCTCAGGATGTGTGCATGAAAGCAAATCTGGTTTATGATAATGTTGCTGTACAGTCTGCATTTGATGTCCTGTGGCTGGTCTGTCACATTGCTGTCCTTTCCACAGCAGACAGTTGCGGTGTCAGGTGCAAAGGATTTGGGCTGTGAAGTAGTCAGCTTGGGTAGATTAAATGCTTCGCAGACAAAAATCCTGCGTTTGGGGAAAGTAAAAATAGTAACAAGAAGAAGTGTAAAGTCTTTAATCCTGAAACCTTACATACAGAAAAAACTGTTGGCCCAGTGTAACTAAAAGAGAAAATATATGTAATGCTGAAAAAAAATATTTTCATCGTTTCCAAGAGGCATTAACTAATTGTTTTAGGTGCCTGTCTCATGAGATCATTAGAAGTTTATTGCCTGGGTGGGTGGTTGTTTTGTTCTTTTTTAACCAAGCAAATGTTTTTTTTATTGTTTGTTACCATGCAAAAAGCTGTCCAAACCAAGATGCGGTAAGCTGCTACAAGAAGGTATATGCAACCTGGTACCTATGGGCCTTTGCACAAACTCTGTAGTGTCTTTCCAATCCTGTGGTAATCATTCACCTAGAAAAACAAGTCTGAAAGCAAATATATCTGGCTTTAACAAACGGTTCTCTTGTCTTACAGAGAGAGGATACAAGCCATGGAGAAACAGATTGCCAGTTTAACTGGTCTTGTTCAGTCTGCGCTTTTTAAAGGGCCAAATACAAGTAATAGCAAAGATGCTTCTAGGTAAAAAAAGAATTCATTAAATCTGTTTCTCTGTAATGATTTTAGTAATCAATCAACAAAAATAATATTTGAATGTAATAGTAAAAAAACCCCTGAATGCTCAATCATTTTTAAATATCTTTGTCATCCCCATGAGAATGCTAGGCAGAGAGGAAGAATATGCCAAATGATAGATGGAGATTAACTGCATTACTTTTCTTTGCGTTAAAAAGAATTAATGTAGCTACATCTCTGTGCTTTCTACTGCTTATACTCCATTCCTTGCTTAAATTGTATTAAAAGCTGATTTAAAAAAAACCCAACAAATCAATGACAAGCTACTGGTGATTTAAATTAAAAGTATATATGCTAGACAAGGCCAATTAATTTGCTGATTATAAACTTCACTATGGTTTTATTGTTCGTAAGTTAAAATTATGATTTTTTCTTTTTATTACTTAGTGAGAAGATGATGTTGAAAATTGTGTCCAGCAAGAGCAGCATTGACACTGCAGGTAAGATAATTCACTTTTAATTTACAAATTATTCAGGTATATGAAAAGCTCTAACATTACTACCATTCCAGCTTATGGAACTGTCAAATTTACTTAAATTCCCATAGCTGTACTGTCAGAACTGAAGTTTAGACTCAGGATATGGGAGTCGATCACATCTTGGTTAAGAGAGGAATTTCTGACAGGTTGCTGTGGTCTCTGGAATGAGTTTCACACCTGTGCTGAATGGTTTAAATAAGATACAGAGTGTCTGCTTATGGTGAATTTTCCAGTGCTTCATCCCGTCTCTAGTATGTGTCTGTCATTAACCCCAGATGTACCTACATTGCTGTAGAAGGCTAAATATTTCATTCCTATTCTGGTCACCTGAACTTTTCTCTAAGGTTCGTCTGTCAGTGGGATGCTATGGATGTAATGTCAGTAAGGAATTTAGCAATCAGCAAAATAGCACTTTCCCTAATTAAGCTGTATTGATCTGTTACTAGTTATTAGCATGGGCCTAAACTGTTTTGAGCAAGCATCAGTTACGAAGCCAATAAGAGCTGCTCTTATTTTAGCTTCCCACTTGGAGAGCTGTTAAGTGTTTAAAAGATGGAGTTAAGACTGTTGTGAAAGAAGATCTCCATGTGATGGGAGCTCTTTGTGTATGGGCTGCTGCTGGAGACATCTGCAGGGTGTGGTGTGTGTTTATATGCCTCCTCTTCACCCTTTGTCATGCACCGAATGCAAATAAAGGCAGGTCCCTACTCCCTGGTAATGCTGTTCCCACAGGGAGCTCTGTGCTCTGGCAGGTAGTAAACCACACACATTTATTAGCAAATCTATTATACTCTTAATAGCCTTTCTGTTGGAGCTGTTAGTTCAGTTCAGGACTCCTTTTTATCTGGAATTGCAGTATGCTCCTCTAACCGACAGAAAGCAAACCAGACCTGGAAACTATCAAGTATATGCAAGAGAGAAAGAGCTAAAGTCCTGGTACCAGAGCTTTGCTCCCAAGCCACTCTCTGGTCCTGTTCCAACTCTTCCCTGCTGGCCCCTGGATGGGGAGAGCAATACGTAAGGCTGTGAAGAAATAAGTTGTAATTTATCAGTTTCGGACAACTTACTGAAAAGTCCACCATTTTTCAAAACAGCTGCAAAATGCTTTTAGACTATTTCAGTGTCATCATACACTGAGAATTTATGGTATTTCCCACTTGCACCGGCCTCGTCTCATACAAAGTACTTAGGAAACCATCAAACCTGCACACAAATTGCCTTGTGTTCCTCTTTGTATCGTATTGCTGTTCAGCCTTTCTGCTTTCCCTGTGCTTGTACTAATGCAGATAAGTACTTTGTGGGAGGCACTTGTGTTAGAAATCCTGATCTACATGGGCCATGCTTTGAGTAGGAGTTTGGACCAAAGGACTTCCAGAGGCCCCGTCAACCTAAATTATTCAGTGATTCGTGTGTGTGTGTGAATGTGCTCTCAATGAAATGAGAAATTAAATAACATTCATTGGGCAAACAGCCCTACACAAAGCAAAAGTGGGGATTCCTCAGTGTGGAAGTCATGCCCAGCCCACCAGAACAGCATGGTTCATCTGACCAGCACCCGTTTCCTGCCGCTGTTGTTCCCAAAGACTCCTCACTACCTTGTCATATGACTGAACACATGTCCCTGAAATGGCAAGATTACATATAACAGCTGCATGGCCAAGCATGGGGTGGGGGGAGGGAGGAGGCATGTAATTTACTGTCAAAAGACCAGATCAGCATCTGTCACATACTGACAGAAGCATTGACTTTGTCACATGGCTGTGCCCATATCCAGCATGTGAATAAGGATACCAGCATTCAGGTTGTGCAATAGATGACTTTCTGATCGCTTGGGAGACGCGGATAGGGCAGCGGGGCTAGCCAGGCAGCCAGCCATCTGCAAGGATCCCTATCAGTGCCATAAAGTATAGTTGTAACTCCAGCATCTGCACCCCTAAATCCTGTCCTTCCAGCATGACTCAGCCACAAAATTAAACTGTAGCAGGTAAGGGAAACAAGGTGTGATTCTGACCCCAATATACTACAGTACTGTAACCCACATCAGCTACTACTGAAGACTGCTGTATAATAGATTAGTCTTGTATAATAGAATATTTTGCTTTTGCGCCTGCTTTTGAAATTGTGCATGACAGGGCTTAATAAGTCAATGCAGACCCTGCTTACTTCAAAATTAGGCAATCTGCCAGAATGTGCTGCGGAATTTTTCTCATTTTTATAAATATGCTTGGTTTTAAATGTGCCAGCAGCATCTAGAAACACTTTTGCTGACCGCTGTTTTGTTCTTCAATTCACCCCAATCCTTATTAAGTATAGCCATTTAGACAGCTGACTCTCTTAGTATACAATTCCACTTGACAACTGTGCACTGAGATACCAGTTTTAGCAATTTCAAAGTCTATTTGAAGGAAAAAGTGGTATACAAAGTTGATTGAGCAGTCCTTTCTAGAACACTGGAATGCAGAAAGATGAATTGCTTCCCATCCTGAACAATAAAACATCTGTGCAGGATAAAACTGGCTCATCAATGTTGAACCAACATTGTATTTTATAGAATGTGTTCCAATGATAGGAAACTTTCATGCAAAAAAATGGAGAACTAGCTCAGTTGGGGAGGGAAAGAAACCAAATTTTCTAACTCCTAGATAACTCTATATAGCTAGATTGTGAATACTCTGCTTGGTATTTCATATAAACCAAATTGTTGTATTTAACATGTTCTTGCTTTGCCAGTCTGTAGCGGATTGTTTAGCCTCAAATATTAAAGACCCTAAATAAAAATGCTTTTTCACTGGGGAAAATGAGCCTGTAACAGTCACGCTTTCTGCATTTCTTATGTTTTATTGCTTTAGGCTCAGTTCTTTCATAGGGGGTGGGTTCAAAGAACAGTAACCTTCCACAGACTGGCTATGTCTCTTTTCCTAATATTAGGAGAAATCCCATGACTGAATCCTTATAACCTTCTTCAGTTCATCAAAATTGAAAGGCATCAAGGGACTCTTCACTTAGGAACAGCACGTGACTCTAAAAACAAACCACACTAGGAAGAGTATCCTTGAGATTACTAACAAATATGCTGAGAAATGCTCACCTACTCTCTTTTCTGTCATATTTTATTTGTCAAGTGGTGAGATTGATAGATTAAATCCTGGATGCATGGATTAAACTGAGATCAGTTGTATCATGGATTACCAAAAAATCAATAGTTCTTTGCTAGTTGCTGCCTTGTTGGAAGAGGAAGGATATTTCAGTATTTCCTGAAATGGGATCAAGGAGTACATCTTTCTGCCCTAACACCACCAGTACAAACCAAGGGAGGGAGATGGCAGCAGGGAGAAGTATTACACATGTAGGGCTCAGATTTGATTCCTTGCTCTTTGTGAACTGTCTTGTTGTCTGTGCATATCTGTGTGCCTTTTTCATGGGCATGACTCTTGCTGTGATGATCTGTGAATTAAAAACAATGTCCATATCTGCTTGCTTATCCCAGATTCAAAGATAGGTCATGCCTGTCTTTGAACTCTGACAGCATTTGCAGGTAAAACATGATCTTGAATTCATTCTGGATCAATTAGGTGAAGTTGCACACTAATATATATATATAGGATATTCTATTCTTTTAAAGTTGCTTTAGAGCCTGGCTATAACAGCTTGTTAATGATGGAATTGCAACCTTAACATTGCATTTGCCTATTTGTTTAGCGGATTCTAACTGGATGGAAAGAGAACTAAGTAACTGTCATGTGTCTCCCCAAATGATGCTTCAAAATGTGGCTTTTTAATAAGGAGATGAGTAACCTATGAAGAAACATTGCTGGATGTCTTCTGGTGGCCTTTTTTCCTAGCCTGCTTCAAAACAAAATCTTAGCAGTTTACAAAGAAAAATAAAAACTGGAAAACAGGAGAGTGGTGTCTTTGCAAGCATAGTAAAGGCTGAGTGTCAGGGAGTGGAAGTTGTGTTCCCTACCTTCCTGAGCCTTGGCAAAGAGCAAACCTTTCTCTTTGTACTTTCTCTTTGTACTTTAAAAATGGCAGCTTAGTTCATTAGCCTTTGTAAAAAAACTTAACATTTGGGTTTTTGTCCAGAGTATTAGGGAATTATGGAGGGGTTTTGCATTCAGGCACCCTTACCTAGCTCCAGCAAGGGTTTATTTAAAAAGCTGAGAGCCAACACTGTTTCTTTCCCTTCAATCCATCTGGCTGTACATCTAATCGCAAAGCTACAGCCTGGGACTATTTCCAAAAGCAAGCTATGCTCCCTAGATGAAGCAGCCCCTCATTCAGCTGCCCTTTCATTCCTTTTTGATGAAAATATGTATCTCTGAGAAATCAGTTACTGTTCCTTACTGTGCTCCCATGCTCATTCAGTGTCCATGGTCGTGTTTCACACCCTCAGGAATCCCACATCGTGCTTCACAGCACTGTGGCAGCTGAGAGTACCTAACTGGGAGAAGAGGTGGCTGAGGCAGCAGAGTAGGAGGAGAGCTGCTTTGTAGGGAGTCGGAGACATTTATTGTTTACAGAAGCAGATCACAGTCCATCTACACTAAAAGGAAAGCAGGGACCCCTTCCTGAGAAAATATGTGAATTGACTGGGGTCCAGCATGGGGGGGAAAGACTGGTGGGGACTGATTCATGCCTTGGCTGCATCATCACAGGGTCAGGGGCTGAGGTTTTGGAGCTTGTGCTTGAGGCAAAGAATAGCAGAAAGGTAGATGCGCTTTCAAAAATAGTCCAGATTTGTGGCTAGGGATCAGAACTCTTGGAGGCTTATCCACATTTTTCAGACTCTCCGGTGGTTTCTGTCTGTAGGGTTTATGAACTAAATACCCTTTTCTTTAAAAAAATGCAAAAAATAGTGCATGTGGGAGGGAAATAGATGCTTGACTGGACTGTAGGAAAAAATGCAGCGTACATGTAGACAGATAAGTATTAGGATATATTAGACTGAAACATGGAGTGGATACAGAATGGCAGTGAACAAGGACTGTTTATTTCTTGAGCATTGCTTTCTGTTAAGCAGCTCTTTGAAAGGCAAGAGATCATTGAATCATACTGGAGTATAGCAAAAATGCGCAGCAGCTTGCTCGGCAGTGAAATGAAAAGTGCCGTTGTTGAAGAACCGAGCAGATCTAGCCGGAGCATGTTTAGGTAAGGTATAGCATTACAACGGCCAGCACCGGGCTAGAACAGCTTTTTGTTTCAGCATGTCTCCGGAAGGCCATGGCATGGCACACCGTATAGAGCATGGGTGCAGCCAGAGGAGCCTGTGCTTTTACTGAGAGGAATTGCAAATGTAGGTAAAGCAAGAAACATGATTTTTCAGAAAACTTTTAGCCTATTTAAATAAAAATACCCTGGCATAATTTCCATCCTTTAAAAATAATTCCCTCAGATGAATTTTGCAAAAGCTATGTTTGAGTTATCCACACCTTTGTTGGCAAAGGAATAACAATTTGTTTTTGTGCTGAGCTGTACTTGGGCACATTTGGAGACTTTACTGGTTAAAAAGACTACTAGGGATGAGAGGGCAGGAATAAAACTTATCGCTCATTCCAGCCAGAAAAACGTGTCATGCCCTTTGGTGCACTGAAAATCTGCCTTCAACAGGCTGAGAAAAGCTTGCAACCCTAGTTTCTGCTTGATTTCATTGAACTTGATAGAATGTGTGCTTGTGGGAACAAATGATGACCAAAGTCCCTGTGCAGATCCATTGATGAGTTATTTTCTGTTTCTTCAGATTTTTTGTTTTATTCGTAGAGAAGGAAGAAAATGAGGTGGGGAATGACATAATGCAATAGTTCAGGGAGCGGCAGCCATCTGAGCTGTCTGAGCCTGAGGGACAAGGTGGATCTGGCCCCGTCATCAGAAGAGTGGCAGGGCTACGTAGTGCTGGACTTAGAAAATGATGTGTGTCCCACTGACAGTCTGTCATTTTCCCTGTTGGCAGTGGGGAGGGGAAAGGAGACATTAGAAAGAAAATTTTAAGGTTATGGTGTGTAAGTGGAAATTGCCAGAAGAAGCTGTAACATGACTGTTAACTCATGAGCTGGAATTTGCTTGTATCCTGTAAATAAAACTTCTTCCCAGGTACTTGAGGCTAAAAAGAACAAGCTTGACATTGATGCTGTGTAGAGAAACAGCATTATTTAATGAAGAAATTCTTGTGAGGACACTTGACGGTTATTCTGAGTGTGGCTCAGCTCACTTCCTTGTGTTACACTGTATTCCTTTGTAAATACAGTCCCGAATAAATGACAGACTAAAGGAGAGTGGGTGGGTACAACATGGCTGAAGAGCAGTTCTCTGCCACACCATTGTTTCATTTCTCTTCTCCTGGTTTTATACCTTAGCTGTTGGAGACACCTGATAGAAATAATGAAATTATGCTTTAAGAAATAAAGCAAGGCTCTCTATAGAAACCTTTTCCCCACAACTGGCAGTTTGACTGAATGTCTCTCCAGTGATAATTAATCAACAAATACACAGTTCAGGAGTCCTGTGAATTTGCATTGCCTTTGTCTCAGATGGCTCCTGGGAAGACAATCCCAAAGCTACTTTCAGCACCAATTTGATTTGCTGCTGTTTTGTGTAATCTGCAGTTATAGCTCATTATCCCATCTCCACTACACGTGGTAGGAAGCAGTCTTGTGGTAATGCAGTGCTCTGATATGGCTGAGGTTCCAGCACAGATACAGTCTGATATTGTAGTCTTCCCTCAAAATGTATTGGATAAGAAGGTGCCAGTCCCCTGTTAATACTGAGCATTGGCAGCTGTAATTTGTTTTTCTCATCCATCTGTGTGAAATACATGTGGATTCAGTGGGCAGAGGAAGGATCATGTTTGTACCTTCTCTGCTGGTGAGCTCAACCTGTGCTGCTGCTTATTACAGGTGCTGCTAACGTATCTGGGGGGAAGAACGCGTTGGCAAATGTGGAATCAGCTGTCATCCATCACCCTGCTGGAGCCCCATCAATGCAAGTCAGCCTGCATGGTATGAAACGCAACGTATCGGATCTGCGGCTGCAGCTGCATCAGATGAAGCAGCTACAGGTATGTTTATCTGGGTAATGCCGGGAAAGTCGGTTGTCAGCAAATGACCTTTTCCTTTCTCTCTCTCTCTTTCTCTCTTTTTTACCTTTTGTATGTGAGTGATCTCAGTAGCAGAGTTCTAGCAGAGGGAAGACCCAAGTATTACAGACTCAAAAGCATATTCTGCTCTAGCATAGACCATTTGCGTAGTCCTAGAGGTATGAGAATTAGCTCAGTTTAACTACTGCTGCTCAGCTGTTGAGAAGTAACTTCATTTCTAGCTTTGTTTGAACACTCTAGACCTTAAAGCAGTATTTATATTACAATAATATCAAGTCTGTGATTACAGTTTGGACCCTGCTATGCTATGTGCTGTATAAACATGTTGGAAGAGCCGTGTTCCTTCTCCACACTGTTTACAGTTCAGACAGTTTTTAAGTTTCTGAATAAGCAACTTTGATGTCAGGAAACCCAAACGTAGCTGAGGATCATTAGATATGCATTAAGCCAGAGTTTTACTCCTGCATTTACAGAATCCAGAAGAATAGCCAACTTGAGCAGCAAGGAAAATAGGTATTTCAAAAGTTGCTGCAAAGGGTTTTGTGCCCTACTTACATTCACATTTTACCAGTACCTTCCTAACATACATCAACACCTCAAAACCTGCAAGTAATAATAAGAACAATGAAGAGTTAACCAAACTGTTCTGTTGATACATACCATCATGCTGCAAATGTAAATGTATGCTGCTCATCTCAGACACTGTGAAAATAAGTGTATGCAGCTGTACGGGTCTTCAGCCCTTCACTCAATTGGAAACTTAAGAGCCTGTGTATTGTCTCAGAAGATGTAAAAGGAGGTAAAGGAATTTCTTGTAAGACAAAGTGGACAGCAGAGGAAACTTCAGTACTCTGCCAGTCCTCCCTGCCTGGAAAGTGACATCACATGTTTGGTATTGTAGGGCTGCAGCTACTGCTATTACGACCAGAGTGGTTTTGAATATGGGAACGGTACTATGTCAATCATCTCCTTTGATTTTCTGATTAATTTTAGAACAGAATAATGATAATACAAGTCAGAATTCAGAGCACATTTTGCCTCCAATTCCTTAGCTAAAGGAAATTGAATTATGAACCAGTCATAGGGCAAGGGAGCAGAAGGGTGAGGTAAACATCAGGATAAAGAAAATGTGGCCAAGACTGAAGATGCTGTGACAAGGTCTTGTGCTCAGTTTGCTGATGATGAAGAGATGGCAGAAGGTATTTGGAGCAAACAGTTGTGCCAGCCAGGTGACCTCTGCCTGTGATACAACACCCATATATTTACATTTTCAGTTTAGAATGAGTATGTTCCTATAGCAACTGTCTCTCTCAAAAGCTGTTCACAGCAGTGCTGCCTGCATGCCAGCCATCATGGTTCCCATCTAATTTCAAGACTCTGGCTTGGGATCTCTGCCCTGGTAGAGTGTGTATTCTTCCACATTTGTGCCGCAAACCACTGCAGCCCCTCTGTCCTTCTGTAACCCCGTGTGCCAAACACAGCTCTTGGCAAATGCCTGTGGTCTGGCCACCAGCTGTGCTTAGCATGTGGCCTCATGAGTGGAGGTTGCAGTGCTGCGCTGGAGGCAGTGAGAGCATCCTTCTCACAGGGCCTGCTCACCAAGGAGGTGGCATTTCCCCAGCTGCACCTTGTCTCCTCAGCCCTGCCTGGGGCGGTAACCTTGCTTTTGATTAGATATAGCATTATGGCACACAGGAGTGAAGAAACTTGTACCATCTGCACAAATCAATGCTGCCAAGGAAGTCTTGAGAAGGAAAAAAGGACATATCCCGAGTGTGCTCATTAACTCTGGCTGGCTTCCCTTATTTCAGAAATGATAGCAAATTTGGTGCATCATGCCAGTAGGAAATGGGCAAATTTGTGATAGTTGGATGGAAGAACCTGTAGCTCAAGAAAAGCTTTGGTATATTATATATAAATTACATTCATGAGAGTGAGTTTTTGTTACGACTTTCCTGAGTGGGTGAAATTATTTTGAAAAAGAGCTCACAGTTTGTAGGGCAGCAAGTGAAGAAGGTAGTGTTGTAAACTGAAGAGTGTTGAAATATCACACTTCTAATAAAAAAAATTTGCGCTTTTTTTTTTTTGAAAAATAATTCTAAGTAAAAGTATTTTTTTTTGCATAGTATGTTTGACAGTACTTCATATTTTTTGCTTTCACTGTTTCTCCTGGGTTGGCAGTCAGTTTGTTCCTGTTTGTGTGAATTTATTATACAGTGACAGACTAAAAGAAACACTCTCAAAGAACTGAAAAAGATGACTGCACAAGCACAAAAGTTGGCAGGATGACTAAGAAACCTGAACAGGACATAAAACTATATTTAATACTATCTATAGTTCAATTTTCAATTGATGATATCAGTGTAAGTTCTTACTCATTTTCTTAATAGAATCAGAGAAACACACGATGGAAAAGACCCATTCATTCACATAGCCTTTGTCTGTGCTGGCAAAATCCTCTTTTTAAAACATATCCAGCAGCGATTGATCCAGATGCATTGATTCACACACCAGTTAAATGTATATGTTACCAGATGCAACCAAAAAGTTAACACTGTTTCGGTCTGTGGCTGGATTTTAACCAGAGATTCTTTTAACCATTTGCGTCATGGTTATTGTTAGAGGTTAGGTACACTTCTTGCTACTCCACTAGCATCTTCCTTAAGTGCTTTGATTTTCAGAGATACTAAAGAAAAACTAGTTTCATCATGCCATGGAGTTTTCCTCATTGCTCTAGCCCAGCCTGTGTCCTGGATGCATTTGTGGTTGGTAAGACTGGAGCCCGTGATGAGATCAGTGGGGTTGTTCATTCTACACTCCCAGATAATAAGAACTCTTAGTGGCAGTTTTGAACTAAGCCTTAGAGTACACGTTCATGGTATATATCATTAGCTTATTTCTAAATTGGATTTTTTTTTTTATTCCTTCCTTTCTTTAATTGAACACATTTTAAGGGAAAGCAGTTAGGTATGATTAGGGTTCAGCATTAGGAATGTGCATGCATGCATGTTTTTCCTTCAGTCAATGTGTTATTTGCAGGGAAATAAGCGCTGCAGAAAGGGTAGAAAATGTAATAATAATAATACTTTGATAAATGGTGCATGATAGTCTCACAAGTGTAACTTTGAATTAGAAATTCAAATATGTTTTGAGCTGCATTATAGAATTGATGAGACTACATTTAATCTATGTATGCTAACAAACTTTAAGAATTAGATAATTAGATTCTACAGAGATCCTGAGCTGCAGGCACTCAGTCCCTGTTTGTGGCTGGGCACTGTAGTGTGTGGGGAGGTGGGTGGCCCAGAAGCCTCTCCCAGCAGGGCCTGGGAGGCTCCCTCTGGACAGGTCATGCTTGCCTCCTAATGAAAAGCAGGGCTGTGCACTGATTCCTGGTTTTCCAGTTGCCTGTCTCATAGATGATAATTGGTTCAAAGTGAACGAAAGTGGTTATCAGATTATTCTTGAAGTGGGTGGCAGGCTACTTGTGAGAGAACAATGATAGATAATGGCTGGAGCAGTAGCTGAAGAAGAGGGACAAGGTAGGTATCCAGGGAGACTGGTGAGACTGGGAGTGAGGACCAAGGGTAATTAATGTAGGAGAGATTGCTAGAATTCTAAAAAAAAAAAAAAAAAGGTGTTGCAATTCTTTCTGTTCGATTGCTGCTTGCAGTTATAAGTCAAGTTAATTCCAATTAGCAAGAAATTGCCATTGGTGGTGACAAGAAAGCCTACATTACATTGCCTTATCTTTCGGCACTTGGCTTTGGAACTTTAACAAAGTTTCTTATCAAGTGTGAATATCTAAGATTGCTTATTTGCCTTGTTTTCAAACAAAATTAAAGTACAAAAAGTCCTGCTCTGTGGAACCACGATAATTCCGGCAGATTCATAAAACTTCTTCCACTTGAGTTAGTGGAGTAGCTGGCAGAGGTGATCTCAGGGACAAACGGGGTGTGCACTTAGCCAAGAAGTCTCAGATCTGATACTTGCTGGCAGAATAATGGTAAGAATCAAGTTCAGTTCCAGAACGTGGAGGTAAATGTGATGTAGCAGCTAGAGGCTGCCTCCTCTTTGTCACCCACAGCTCTTCCCCTCTGCTCCTACTCGCCCTCCCTCATGTTGTCCTTTGGCTGGTGACTCTACCCTGCTTAAACCCACAATTACTCCTCTCCCCTGGTTCCTTCTCTTCTCTCTCTGCACCCATCTGTACCTCTCCCTTCTCATCTTCTGTCCCTGTTCCCCAAGGAGGAACAAACCCAAGTGCTGCAGAACTAGCCAAGTGTTACATGAATTTTCACAGAAATGGCAAAAATATCACTTTGATACCAAGATGAGTCATTTCCCAGACTTAAAGAGCTCACTCCAAACACTGAGGTTTGAGAGTCCTCAACATACAAGATTTTTGAAATATTACTGAGTTATATTTTTATTCCCCGATCTTGTTACCAGCAATGGATGAACTTTTATGACTGAAACTTTCTAATACTGTTCAAGCACTGCATAAATGGAAGTGACAAGCACCTTAGCTGTAGGTGTCATTACAGTAAATATAGATCCTCTATGTACCCCCATAATAGAAAAAAAAGCATACCCGCCATTGCACAACCACACACACACACGCGCGCGCACACACTCAATTTTGGTATTCCTGGGAATCACTGTTACCAGCTGAGGAACGTAGAGGACTTAAATTCTGGACACCTGAGACTTAAGCTTGACTCCATTACTGACCTTCTCACTGACCTGGATCAGTTGTTTCACATTTCCCTAGTCACTTCCCTGTGTCAAATTTCCCCACTTTTTAAAGAGCTGTGAATAAACTGTATGACCGAAGTGTTACGTGCTCAGTCACTCATTTATTCATTCATTTATATTTTCCTTCTTGAAAATATGGCACAATGAGAGAGATGTGTGTCTCAGATAGCTGTGCTGGCCTCACTGTAAGAGGTTTTAATTTATCAAACCCAAACCTTAATCCCATAGTGGGGAAAAATACACATATGCACTGTATTCAAAAGAGTCCAGTCTGGTATAAAGCAGCTGACAATGTTTATAAATCTGTGCTGTTTCAAATGTTTTCCAGCTTCATTTTTTTCCTTAACAGCTAACACTTATCTTCAGCTGAGTTTTGAGCTAACACCTCCTGCTTGTCACAGCTCAGGCCACCCCGCGCACTTTCAGTGAAGTGTTACCCTCCCTCTCATCACAGTTGTGTCACTGGGGAAGGCAGAGTCAGGCACAAGGACTGAAGAGTTGGGAGGGGAAAGTTCAGTTTGTTCCTCTAATTCCCGTACTGATTGGAAAGAATGACCTGAGCAAAGCCTTTTTTTTTTTTTTTCTCTGATTCCCATGAATTCTCTTGAATCAACTTAAAAAGAAGTCTTGTTGCCTTATATGGTCTTTTGTGATTCTTCCTATTAGGCAGTGGGTTTACTTCGTATGTTAAATGTGGTTTGGCTGTTAAGTCAGGATGTTTAGAACACAGTTGAAGGTCTGATTGTTAGTTTTAAAACTGGGACTTCGTCTCCCAAGTGACCCAGGTGTTTTTAAAAATCTCTTAGTATGAGATGGCTGCTAGGCTAACAGTCGTGTTCTTGGTGCCTGTATCGCAAAGCTGTGACTAGATGGAGCCCTGCTTATCACTTTGAATCTTGTGATTTGCATAAGAGACAGGTTTGGTTTGTGTGAGTGTGGAGTGCAGCTGCTCTAGGGCTACCCACAGAAGAGTACAGGCTAGTTTGCTTTCTTAGCTGTGTTTTACTCTGCAAACTTCGCATCAGTAAGAAAATTAGTGCTTTGGGTACTTAACATAAGGCTAAGATAAGAAAGAAGGTATGAATTTTACAGTTCTCAGAAAGTTACCATATTTTAAAGGGGGTTTTTTTCGGTGGGTGAAGGAGGTTTAATGTACTGCAGATGAGCTCTATGTCTGTCACCAAATTACACCGGATGGCACAATCCTTCCTCTGACACTTGAGAGACTGAAAAATCCCATTCTGAGAGCAGCAGTGCGTTCCAGTCTTGTCATTAATGTGTGGGATTATCCACAAGGCATGTATGGGCAGCGTGATGCATAAGCTTACGAGATATGTGCAAAGTGGAAGTCAAGCTTCCGGCATTCTCATGAGGCGTGATTAATTCTTGGTTCATGCTGGACTGAGCAGAATAAAGGGGCCACAATGCTTGCAGACATTATGCCCTGAAGGTGGGCTACTGATCCCAACATCTTTTGTTCCATCAGCTTGCAAATGGAAGTTAGATATATACATTTGAAGTTAATCAGATTTAGGTTTTTCTCACACCCAATACCTCCTCACAGAATGTCTACAGGTAAAGTTAAAGAGGGAAAGAAGGAGGTAAAAACTGTCTCTCACTGTAGGGCTGTGTTTATCCCAACCTATTTCTGAGTTCTGCAATGTATTCTGTTGCCAGGGTTGTCAGTCAAGCAGGAAAAATTGAAGTTGATTTCTTTTGTGCAACAGCTGCAGAACCAAGAGATGCTGAGGGCAATGGTGAAGAAAGCAGAGCTGGAAATCAATGGCAAAATGATTGAAACAGTGAAGAGGCTTGAAGATCCTGTGCAGCGACAGCGCAACCTGGTGGAACAAGAAAGGCAGAAATACCTCAACGAGGAAGAAAAGATTGTAAAGAAGTTATGGTGGGTTGAGAAACCTCTTAGAATTTGTTGCTTTTGCCTGTCATCTTCTTTCATAAAGTAATAGCTTTCACTGTCTTCAGTGAAACTGTACCTGTGTATGCTGTTTTAGCTGTGTTTCCTTGCACTCATATTGGCTGTAAAACTGTCTATGTTGTACCACTGGTCCTGACTGCGAGTCCTTCTTAGCACAGCCCACTGGTAAGTCCCACCAATTCAAAGAGTTTCAACCTCTTCAGAAGCCCTCTGTAAAGGAACAGATGACTATAAGGAACGTGACCACCTCCTTCTGAAAGCCTTCCCCTGTCCTAGTTCTCACCTTCAGCTTTATGTATTATATTTTAGGGAAGGAGGAAGGAATTTCCTCAAGAACAAATGGATGCAAAAGAAGGTAATGCATTTGGCTTTAAGTATGAAAATCAGGTTTCAACAGTAAGTGCTTTGGCTATTGCACAGGAGATGTGCAGGAAACTCATAAACAGAAGATTGAAGTTTAATTGTAATCAGCAATGCCAGTCTCCGTCTAAAATTTACTCACTGGGATTTCCTTACATTAAACTGCCGTTAAAAAATGCTTTTCTTATTTTGTTGTTGTTGTTGTGTAAAGGCTCTTTGTAAAACTTTTTTTTCCCAAAACTTTGGCCTGTCAAGACTGGTGGGACCCAGTTGTTTATTTTAGTCCATGTTCAGAGTCAGCAGGAGGCAAGATGAAGCTGAAAGCAATAAACAATTTAACTAGTTTTAACACTCACATTTGGAGGATGCCATATAACTAATTATTCCCCATTACTGCATTTAGTTCACATCTGAAGAATTGCTCCATAATAGAGCAAAACTTTATAGTCAGTTTGTCATTAAAAATGATGATTGAAGAGCCATAGGAGTACAGTTATTGACAGCGAAGGAGAGTAAATCTTTCCTGTTGATCAACGTGATGAATAAGATTTGTAACAGAAATGGTGCATCTGCAAAGACAAAGTAGAATGTTACTAAGGGAGTGTATGTTTTCTGTGAAGAGAAGTTGAATGCGTAGTAATAGTCCATGTTGGTGTATATAATCCTCTCAGCTGGTCTGTAGCCTTAAAGAACATTGTGGTGCAGTCTTAGTATCTTCTGTTCATCACTTTATTCCTGTGTACCTCATTGACTACTTTCTAGATTGTTTTTCCTCTGTGGAAAGAACAATTTGTGTGATGGCTGTTGATGGCATTGCCTCATAAAATGGATACTGAGTGAGGTCAAGTGCAAATGGCATTAGTTGTTACAGCTGTTCGTTTAGGGTACGACTTTGACTGCAATATGGTTCTGTTTTATCAGTGTTTGGAATTTTTTTCTGTTCAGAGTTTCTGCTGCTTCTGTGTTACTTCATTTGTTAATGTTACAGGAAAGTAAGATAATAAAGTTAGATAATTCATATGCTATAGATGTTAATTCAACCCTTTTAGAGACATGTTAGAAACAAACGTTAAATCACAAACAATCATTTTTCATTAGCTGTGTCCAATGAGATTTCTTTGTCATGTATTTGCACGTTTGCAGGATCAGAGCCTGAAAGAAAAAAACATCTGACAACAATGCTTGAAGTTCAACAGCTGATGGCTGTTAAAAATGAAGAGCATACATCACAAAATTACACATCAAATGTCACTGGCAGTATTCAGAAAAAGGTTAACATTCAATATAGGCACTTTCAATTAAGCTGATCCCAGTGCAGATGTATAAACAAATGCAAAGCAACAGGGCAAATAATTACCATTTCTTAGTCTTTCAACTGTTGCCCTCTTTCCTAAATCATAAGACTAAATCAGTAGACTGGCTTCATGCAAGACAGGGAGCTTAAGGATTTCTGCAATACATACAAAAGTGTATTTACTACTCTGAAGCGGTAAATCTCAGCTTAAAAAACTCTTCTTTCTGCAATTCTGAAGATTGTCACTGGGAAATAAAGAAACAAAAATATTGGCGGTTTCATGTTGTAAACAGCAGAAGTGTTGGTATACGTTTCAGAGCAAGTTTTCTGTTGAGCAGCTTATTCATCATGGTGCCTACAGAAGTGTGCCCGTGTGAGTCACAGCTGTAGTAGGATTACAATTCAGAGGTATTTACTGAAAACTAAGAAACGCTCTTAAACGTAGTGTTTATTCACACTTGTAACAGTGAAATACATACTCAGAATTAACTGGGTAGGTTTTCTTCTATCTGGTCTTTTGATTCAACGTTAGAGATGCCCATATATAACACTTTTGGGGTTGTAGATGCTGGCCTTGAAATTTACCAGACCAATGACAAATTATGATGATATGACACATTGACTAATGAAGTATTTATGTTGTATGGAACATGTTACAGGTATGACTATTATATGTTGTAGATTATTGTAAGCATTTTAATAGAAAAGGTTTTATAAGCACAGTATTTAAATTGTAACCACATCCAAGATATCTAATTGGATATGATCCATAGTAAGTTACAATTTATATTTTGTTAGGAAAAGTATCAGACTTTTTTATAAGAATAACCGTGCTCAGTAAAAACAAAACTCTTAGCAGTCTTGGCGAGCCACTACTAGCAGATACTTGGGAAAGGATATAAGAACATGGCAAAATGCTCAGAGCACATCTCCTTGCATTAATGACTTGTAGCTCAGGGATTTTCCAGGTCAGAGATGGTATCTTCATATACAAAAGCACTGCATGGATTGTTTACTTTTCATGAACTTAGGCATTTTTAAAAATTTGCATAAACTAGTTTGTGTACAGCCTCTGGGCACAATGAATTCTATACAGTAATTCTTTTTTTGGGTAGAAAGAACCTATTTTTGTTTGATTTTGAATCTTTCATCTGTCAATCAATCCCCAAACTCTTAAATTATGCACAGCAGAATATTCACCCTCTCCATGCTAGTTGTGATGTTATAGATGCTCCCCTGCTCTGTTTTCTGATTATGCCTTTTCCAGCCTGAAAAGTCCTACTCTTCTTGTAGAGGCCATTCTATACATTTTGTCATCCTGTTGCCTTTCTGTATGCCCTTTCTAACTCTAGGGAATGGGGAGAGAGGAGAGCCCTGCAACAGCTATATCAGATGTAGGCACGCCATGACTTCATGCAGTGGTGTAGTGATGGTCCCCCGTCCTCATGTTCCGCATGAGCTTTCCATTACAAATCCAACATCTCACAAGGGATAATTATCAGTTCAACGTTCATTATTGTGTATAAAAACTTGGGGGTTTGGGAGGCTGCTGGGTTTAGTGGAGTTGGTTTTGTTTTTATTTTTCCTCTTCTCATGAGCATTACTTTACATTTATTAGGAGTTAATTTAATCTTTGGGTTTTTTCCTGGCCAGTTAGTATCAGACGGTCCATCTGCAGCTCTCTGCATTCACCTTTCATTTTCATTCCTCCAAATAATTTAATATCCCTTTGAGATTTTTTTACTATACTATTCATCCTCTTTTCTAAATAATTTATATGTTGAAGAGCACCAGCTCTAGCACCGATCCCTGTGGAACACACCAGCAAACTACATTCATTGAGTAAGCTGTTCATTGATCCCTTTCCTATACTTCCAGTACTTTATCCGTGAGAGTATTTCCTCTCTTGTCCCATGGCAGCTTTGCTTTCTTGAAAGCTTTTGCTCAAATACCTTGCTGAAAGCGTTTTGGGCTATAGCTTGTCCCCATGCTTTTGTTGTTTCCTTGTGTATTTGTGAAACTTACCTTCTCTTTGCACAAATCACATTAACTCCTCCCTAACACATATTTATCCATTGGTCCACTAATTCTTTATTTGGCATCTATCAATTACACCAGTCTGTGTGTCAGTCTCACCAGAGTACGATTCCCTGGATAGCCCCATCCCCTTTAAAAAATTTATTTGTATCATCTATGACACCTTCTACTACTCCGGCGTCAAAGCAATTTTAATCAAGAAGTTAGATGCTTAGAATTAATAGTTAGACTGTTTCACCCTCAAGTTGCTATTGAACTCCAGGGCAAATACCATCTGGCCTGGGTGATTTGTTACTATTAATTTTGTCAGTTCATTTTGTAACCTGTTCTACTGATGCTGCAATCTGAGACACATCCTCTGATGGTTTTTTGCCTAAAGAAAGATCTCAGCATAAGAGTATGCCTCGGCTCCCCTGTGTAAAACATAGATGCAGAAAAATCGTTTATCTTGTATTAGCCTTCTGAAACTGCATTAATGTGAGTGCCTTGTTAATTGGGTTTGCTCAGTCCGATCTATAAAGCCAAGTTGTTTCCCCAGTTACAGAAACGAAATGCTGGAGACTGCTGGATCTGTTTCAAACTTTGGCTCCCGAGGGCTGAAGTTTCTTTTCCATTTTAGTTAGCAATATGAGGCAGTGTAAGATGGTATCCCCTGAGTAATTTCAGGATCAGTTGTCTTGTTTGATAGTATCACTGTATGGAATCAAAGAAGGGGTTTATGATGACCCGTTTCTGCTCAGAGAACAAGGGGGGGCAAAGGCATTGTCTGCTACCTGGAAGTCTTTCCTTTATCCCTACATTTCCAACGGTCATAAACATACCAAAACATCATAACATTGTTCTGTGTTTGTTCCGTGTTTGTTCCTTTCTCTTCTTTCCACCCATGAGCAAATTAAAGCTTCTGCTCTTTTTTTTTTTTTTTTTTTTTTTTTTTTTTTTTTCTTGAT